CAATATCTTATCATCAGCAAACAGTGAAAGTTTGATCTCTCTGCCCCAATCAGATTCCTTTAAATCCACTTTCCGGTCTAATTGCTATAGCTAGGACTTCCAGCACTATGTTGAATAGAAGTGGAGGTAGTGGGTAGCCTTGCCTGGTTCCAGTTCTAAGTGGGAATGTTTTCAATTTTTCCCTATTCAGTATGATGTTGGCAATCGGTCTGTCGAATATGGCTTGTATCATTTTTAGGTATGTCCTTTCTATGCCTATTTTATTAAGTGTTCTTAATCATGAAAGGGTATTGAATTTTGTCAAAAGCTTTTGCTGCGTCTATTGAAAGAATCATGTTGTCTTTGTTTTTGCTTCTGTTTATGTGGTGAATTACATTTATAGATTTATGTATGTTGAACCATCCCTGCATCCCTGGGATGAAGCCTACTTGGTTGTGATGGTTTATTTTTTTGATAAACGTCTGGATTTGGTGTGCTAGGGTTTTGTTGAAAATTTTTGCATCTGTATTCATAAGGGATATTGGTCTGTAGTTTTCTTTTTTTGTTGCCTCCTTTCCTGGTTTTGGTATCAGAGTAATGTTCACTTCATAGAAGGTGTTGGTGAGGTTTCCATTCTTCTTGATGTTATGGAATGATTTCTGCAATATAGGCACCAGTTCTTCTTTGTAAGTGTGATAAATTTCCGCTGTGAAACCATCTGGGCCGGGACTTTTCTTTTTATGAAGATTTTTAATTGCTGTTTCTATTTTGGCTCTTGATATTGTATCAGGAATTCTATTTCTTCCTGGTTGAGCCTAGGGAGGCTATGTGTTTCTAGAAATTTGTCCATTTACTCCACATTTTCCAGTTTGTGTGCATAAAGGTTTTTGTAGTATTCATAAATTATATCTTGTATCTCTTTGGGATCAGTTGTGATATTTCCTTTTTTGTTCCTGATGGAGCTTATTAGAGATTTCTCTTTTCTGCTTTTCGTTAGCTTAGCCAATGGCGTGTCAATTTTGTTTATTTTTTCAAAGAACTGATGGGTGAGTCAGATTACTGTTCATTCTGTTGGGTTGGACATTGTTGCTTTGATTTCTCTCTTGAGCCATTGTGATATCTGGCCTTTAATCTTTAGGTTTGGGGTATTTTTATGTTCATGAGATTTTATTGTGCTGTTCCGTGCGTAACACTGTTTGAGTACTTCTTGTAGGGCTGGTCTTGTCTTGGTGAATTCCCTCAGACTTTGCTTATCTGAAAACGTCTTAATTTCTCGTTCAGATATAAAGCTTAATCTTGCAGGGTACAAGATTCCAGGGTGGGCATTATTTTGTTTCAAAAGAGTGAGCGTGGGCCCCAGTCTCTCTTTGATTGTAGTGTTTCAGTTGAGAAATCTGGCGTTATCCTAATCAGTTTTCCTTTGTACGTAACTTGCTTCTTTTGACTTACAGCTCATAGAAGGGCCTCTTTAGTTAATATTTTGGTCAGTCTGATGACTGCATGTCGTGACATCTTCCTGTTTGCATTGACTCTCCCAGGGGTCCTTTGAGCTTCTTAAACTTGTATCTGGAGATTTTTAGCAAGGCCTGGGAAATTTTCCTCTATTATATCTTCAAATAGCTTGTCCAACCCTTGAGTGTTGTCTTCTTCCCCCTCTGGTAACCCTGTGACCCTCACATTAGGTTTCTTCACATAATCCCACATCTCTTGTAGACTTTGCTCTTTTCTCTTGTTTCTCTGCTCTGTTTCTGTGACTGATTTATTTAATTGGAAGGTGTTATCTTCAATCTCTGAGATGCTTACTTCTGTTTGGTCTACCCTATTTTTGAGGCTTTCCACTGTATTTTATATTTCCCTGAATAAATTCTTCATTTCCAAGAGATCTGATTGATTTTTCTTTAAAAATCTCAGTTTCCTTAGTGAATTTTTGTTCCAAGTCCTTGATTTTCTTTGTGGTTTCTTTGTGCTGGTTGTCCATTTTTCCTTGCATATCATTGAGCTTTCTTACAATCCAATTTTGGAATTCTTCTGTCATTTTAGTGTTTTGGGTTTGTTCAGTCTCCATTTCTTGAGAGCTGGTGTATCTCTTAGGGGGAGTGTTTTCAGTTTGATTTTTTGAAGTTCCAGAATTCTTACGCTGAGCTGTCCCCATCTGGATCAGCTGATGGTGCCCAGGCATCCTTTCTTTACAGTTTCTTGATCAGCCACTGGGAGGAGCTCTTCCACCACACTTGGAAGGTACTCCTGCTGGGAGGGGTTACTTGTGGACCCTACCCCTGACTGGGGAAGAGATCCAGCCCCAGCGTTTTGATCAATTGTGTGACCTAAACTGTTCTGGGAAGCAAAGTCTTTTATACTGCAACCTTACACACTGTGCACAGGCCTAGCAGATTCTCCCTAGATATGGGGAAGAGTGGGTTTTCTTGTCTCACCCCGCCTCCAGGGTGGAGCCTACCAGTTTCAGCAGGAGAGATGTGGGCTAGGGGGAGGAAGTAGCTCCCCAGTCTGCCCTGCACCCCGGCGCCCTGGTGGCTGTGGCTCCTGTTGGTGTTAGTTTTCTCAGTAGTTCATTGATCGAGCCAGGGCTGGTGAGCCTATTGCAGATTGTGTAGGGTCGGAATTTGTCAAGAGAGTCTCTGGGATGGGGAAGGGGACCTGCCCTCCACGCCTTATGGCACTGTGGTGGCTGGGCTGTGAACTCCCTCAATGGCGACCACTTGCCCACTCGCAGGGCACCAGCACTGGGGGCGACTGTTTAGAAGGTGGCAGGTGCCAGGTTGGATGTCTGGGTCATCAGGACCCCCTGTGGCGTCCTCTAGGCTGCCTTCCTGACCACCGGTTCAGCCATAGTTCTTGCTCTTACTGACCTGCCCTGTGCAGTCTTATTTGCCCGAGGCAGTTACAGCTTAGGGTCCCCAGCTTATCTCCTGATCATTTTGTTATTTCTTTTTTTGAGAGTCCCTTGCTGAACCTCTGCAGATTCTCGATGCTGTCCTTGTGGCAGGGAGAGCCACTCGAGTGTAGGAGACCAAGATCTATGTCTCTTTCTCTGGGAGCAGGAATCCGGGGCATTACCTTTACTCTGCCATTTTTTTCCTATAATTTTTCTATTTTTAGTAGAGACAGAGTCTTGTTCTTCGTCAGGCTGATCTCAAACTCCTGACCTCAAGCAATCCTCCCCTCTGGGCCTCCCAGAGGGCTAGGATTACAGGCATGAGCCACCATGCCCAGCCTAACCATTACTTTTCTGTCTCCCCTAAGAATCCTCTTCCTCAGTCTATCTTATATATTAGCTTTCTTCTCTGTTCTAGCTTCAGCTTTTTTTTTTGCTTCTCATTCTATACATTTTTTTCCAGGTAATTCCACATGGTGTCCCAGGTTGAATTACCAGATATAGGCTGATTGGTGATTCCAAATCATGTGTTTGTAGGCCATACCTTCCTTTTGCAAATGCAAGTATTTATTGGACATCACTTGAGTCACACAAACACAACCTGTACATACTATTCATCATCTTTCCTTCAAACCTTTTCTTTTTTCACTGAATGGTACCGCCACCTTCCTGGTTGCCCAGGTCAGAAACCTTGACATTATTTTTGGGCCTTGCGCTTTCCTTTACCTTCCTTCTATGCATGTGTATATATATATATATAAAACTTTGCAGTTCTTAGAGTATGTAATATCTTTGAACACACTATTTCCTTTGCCTAGAACATTTCCTTTGTTAATCTTACTTCTGTAGGGAGATAATATAGTGTGATGTACAAGAACGTAGCCACCAAGGTCAGAATACCAATATTCAAATTGAGGCTTTGCTACTTCTAAGTTACTTTATCTGAAAGTGGTCCCTGACAGTGTCATTCATCCCTCCTTCACAAAAAATAAAACTTACACTCCATTAAGTGCCTCTGTACTATCCTCTTAAGATACCTTTATTTGCTACCATTTTTATTGTACTTATTCCTCTGCATTACAATCACTTGTTTCCCTGTTTCTTTAATTACCCTGTAAGCTCCTATAATTCTGCACCATTATATTGCTAATATGTAGCTGTAGGCCTCGCATGTTAATTTATTAATTCAGCAAATATTGAGCACTCTTATTGTCATGTACCAAGGGTCTCGGTTTGCAGTAGTACACAAGAGAAACCAAGTTGCTGCCCTCATGGGCTTACTTTTCAGCAGAGTTAACTAATTAACTTAATTAACTAATCAATTAAGATTTTGCCAAGTATTAGAGAGGAACCCATGGAAAGAGCTGAGGAGAAATGTTCTAGGCAGAAGTACAAAGGCTTTGGGGTGGGAAGGTGCTTGGAAAGAGGAACACAAATGGAATGAATAAATCAAGATGGGAAGACTAAGAAGCAGAGAAGTGACTTGTCCACCATGATTGACAAGTGGTGGAACATAGATCCCCTGAGTCCAGTTTGGCACTCTTTCAGTGAATCACATTGCCTCAACATTTAGAAAAAATGGTTAGTCTTAGCAAAAAGTATGTATGATTGCTGAAAATTAAGTGAAATGCAAAACTTGTTAGAGCATAGATTGTTTAAAAAGAAAATTGACATTTGAAGAAAGAGTTAATACAAATAATGAAATTAATCAGTGCATGTAAGATGCTACTCTTGATTTTTGACTTAGGTTTAAGTGCATAATAGAGTTTGAGGGAATTTGAAATAAGGCAGGGAAAATGTATTAAGCATTTATTCCATATCTAGTGTGTGGCAGACATTGTAGTGGGTGACTAGGACATGATCGTGTGCTCAGGGTTTACATTTTTCATGGAGGAGATTATCTACATAGTTTAGAATTTGGTTTTACATTAAATCTGTGTATAAATGTGTTATAAAAGTCACTTGGTGTAGTACTAGTGTTAAGAAAATGATCAATCTTTAGTAATAGGTGACATATGAAAAAAAAACACCTTTGGATTTTTGGTTCTTGTAAAATAGTTATCCTTTTAATTTATCAAGTGTTTACACTTTTCTTTATTGTTTAATTCTTTTCCCCCCCACTTATCAGGTAATTGACATAGGAGAGAGTATATCTATTCCAGATGACTTTACCGAACACGAAAAGCAGTCTGGAGACTGGTGGAAGCGTTTGGTGGCAGCAGGAATAGCTAGTGCGATCGCACGAACATGCACAGCACCTTTTGAGCGCTTGAGAGTCATGTTGCAGGTAGTTTGCATGCTTTACCTCCCCTTAGGAGTTAAAGTAACTTGAAAAGTCGTTGGCAGTTTTCAAAAATTTTTTTAAATGTTTTGGCACATTTTATACTACTTCACATTAAAATGTTACATTTTTCTGAGAATGTAAATTCTGTTATTTTCAATATTAAAAGATTTTTAAATTTTCTTAAAGATGCTCTTATGCTATTCAAATTAAATTTTATTTGAAATAGTAATAGAACCACTCTATTAGAAGTTTTTTTAGAAACTTAACTAAATCCATGAGAGAAGTGATAAGACATCATTAAACGCTTTATTGGTTATCGCTAACCCCGATACCAACATAATAGCATGGCTCTACTCTACTGTTTAAGTACTGAGAATACTTTTAATAGGTTTAAAATAAGTTACTTAGAGTATATTATTATATGTTGTCCAATTACCTTTATTTCAATGACTAATATATTGTTGATAGTAGTTATAAAATAGTCCATGGCCTATTCTCTTAAGTATCATAATTAAAATCCACAATTAAAATTTGATATTTGCTGAATGCTTTCTCTGAAAAGATATAAAAATTAATAATGCACAATTGAGTGAATTTAAATTTTTGATTAAACTTACATACCTAGGTGTTTTACTGTCTTTTTTTTTGTCACCCAATATTTGGTGACATTTTGGTAATGGATTATGAATAGTTATTATTATATAATGTGAATTGTGTAAAAACTATAATGATACATATTTAAGAACTATTTATAGTTCAACCTCATTCTGAAAAAAAATTTGACTAATCTTAATTAAAAACTAAATTTATATAAATATGTCATTTTTGGAAAATAAAGGCTATTAGAAGGATAGACTTTGGGGAGAAAAGGGCTTCATTTATTCATTCCACACATGTATTAGGTATTTTAATAGGCGTTATGGACTATGGTATTGTGTTAGAGTAGTTTTTGTCCTCAGAGAATTTATAGTTTATCCAGGAAAATAGATAATTACGCAAGTAATAATAAAATGTGATATAAGTACTATATGCCCAGACAAGTGATACACACAGTACTATGGGACCACCAAGGAGAAGTAAATACCATTTCCTCTCTGCCTGTTATTTCTCGCATAAATATTGGTGGTATCTTGGTCAATGTATCCAGTGGAGATGACCTTTAATTTAATGGGCTAGTATAGGTAACACACTTTGAGGCATAAGACAGTAAGACAAATAACCCACCATCCTTCTCCATGTTTGATTTCATGTGTAACCTATATTCTCTTGAGTCAAGTGACTAAATTCAGTCATTTGTTAGGAAAGAGCAGGAATTGAAAGTCCTCAATTGCAGGTAGAAATAGAAAACTCAGCTTCATAACTAGGCCTGTTAGAAAATTTAAAGTAAGCTGTAAAAGAAGTAGATACAAAGTACAGTACTACACAGAGATGGAGACATATAGGGAGATGAAAAAGATGGGAAAGGAACCAAGAGGAGAAATAGATAATGTATTTGTTGTGCGCCCTTCATATGCTAGGTGCTAGAAATACAAAGATGAAAAAGCATATTTCTTATACTCTAAGACCTTAAGAGACATAAACAATATAACTGTGTGGTGATGATGATGATACTGAAAACAATAATTGTGACTTAATATAATTGTACATAATTGCTATGTGCAAAATAGAAAAGTATGTATATGGGTATTTTAGGGACAGAGGGTAGGGATGATCAGTTCTCTGAGGGGATAAAAATGGGTCAGTGGATTAGGGAGAGGGGAAAGTTTGGAGCAAAGAAGGGGAGATGGAAAGAGTGAAAAAGGAGAAAGGGGTAAAGGAGCTGGATAGTAGAAAGAAGGAGGAAGACAATGGGAGATAGAAAGATAGAGAAGAAAAGGAAAATAGAGAAGAAATGGGAAAGAAGAGGAAGAAAGATGATAGATGAAAAATTAGAAATGGGGAGAGATGAGTGATATAATGAGGAGTTAGAGGAAGGAAATGAGGGAGGGAGGGAAGGAAGAAAGGAGCTTCTGCCATTTTATGCTATTATAGATTGGATCTCATGGCTTTCTTTTATGTATATATTTGACAGTGAAATGGGTTCCTTAGGACTTGCCATCTTTATTGATAGTGGGATTACTGTGTGATCTTCACACAACTGGAAAGGAATTCTGTAAAATAGAGAAGGACATATGTGTCGTGTGGTCAGAGGTAGCTTAATGTTGTTGTTTTTTTTTAATTATTTTTTTTATTTTGGCATATTATGGGGCTACAGATTTTAAGGTTTCAATAAATGCCCATTTCCCCCCCTCCCCCCAAAAGTCTGAGTCTCCATCATGACCATCCCCCAGATGGTGCACATCTCACTC